CAGAAGGGAACCTCTGACATCTTCATATTTTTGTGCCTCCTCCATTTTATAAGTCGCCCCAAAATATGAGCTTTCCTAGGTCTGTAAAGAGTCCAACACAATTGTGTTGTCATTCATCTGGTGCAGGACAATGGAAGGGGTAGGGTGAAGAAGGGACACAGACCCCAAGTACTCACGGGAGTTGGCATTAGCAATTTCATTGGTCTCATTGGGGTCCAACCAGACCTTCTTTTTGCCACAGCGAAGGACACTGGAGGCAAGCCTCTTCTGAAGCCTAAGCATACTGGAATACACAGAAAAATACTATCATGCCCTGGAAGCCACTCCTAGAAAAGAATGAGCACCCCCAGCAAGACCTGCCCTCCAAAGCCTTTTTTTTTTAAAAAGATGACCGGTAAGGGGATCTTAACCCTTGACTTGGTGTTGTCAGCACCACGCTCAGCCAGTGAGCGAACCGGCCATCCCTATGTGGGATCCGAACCCAGGGCCTTGGTGTTATTAGCACCGCACTCTACCGAGTGAGCCACGGGCCGGCCCCCTCCAAAGCCTTTTAATGTTGTGAAACATACTATGCAGGAAAGCAGATAAAATATGTATATGCACTTACTATTAAGGACAAACACACCCCATTCCCCCTAAGACTTTTGCTACTCCACATCCCATGAATGAGAATCTCCCCTAAAGATCTTTGTTAAAACCCTGGGCTGTGCAAGTGGCCACCCTGGGAGGGGACTTAAGTCCAAACTATGCCTTAACCCCTCTGTGCCTCAGTTTTCTCCCCTGGAAAATGAGGTTAACAACAAAACTGGGATAAAGCGGGGGCCTGAGTCCTTTCCGGTATTCAGATGGAAAAACAGTGTTCAAAGTACAAAAAAAGGTGCCGGCCCGTGGCTCACTCGGGAGAGTGCGGTGCTGATAACACCAAGGCCACGGGTTCGGATCCCATATAGGGATGGCCGGTTTGCTCACTGGCTGAGCGTGGTGCTGACAACACCAAGTCAAGGGTTAAGGTCCCCTTACCAGTTATCTTTAAAAAAAAAAAAAAGTACAAAAAAAAAGTTAAGTACAATACCCGTGGACCTGACTCCTAGTCTAGAATGCAAGCAAGTTCCTTTGCTTTCTGGGCTCGTTTCCTCGATTTAACACACTAATAAACTACATTCACCCATCCTTACGAGATTTCTCTTATAACCAACAGGGTGGAGAGCGTCAAAGAACTACAGATAGCCGCCCGCAGAGGGAGGCCTGTCCAACGTCTCACGGAAGCAGAGATCTGCTTGGCTCCAAGTGCTCCCAGCGAGGAAGGGGGCCATGCCCTGGACCCCACCGCTGCCTCTGCTCTACCCGCGGGGTCGCCCGCGACACGTGTGAAGCGCGGTGTCCGCCGGGGCAGCAGTTCTCGCGTCTCCAGTTTCCGCGACGCTCCCCCACCCCCACCCTCTAGAGGCAGAAGCCTTGTGTGCTCCGGCCTACCCCAAGCTCCGGCACTGGGCGCTTCAGGGCTGCCTCCCTCTCATCTCCCCACCCGGGACAAGGGTACCGAGCTCCGCCGTCCCCCGCCAGCCCAGCTCAGGCCAGACGGAAGACCCGACAACGCTCACCTCATGGCTGCGGCGGCCGCAGCGAAAGGAAAGAACTCGTTCTGTTCCGGCTCCTTCCATTATACGTGAAGGGGAGACCACTAACCCTGCTCTGCTTTCACCCGCATTCCCATCAGGTCCTCTCACCTTCTGTCTGTCACCCCCAAATCACTTATTTCCTCCGTAAACACACGGAATAATAGAATCCTAATATTGGGAATCGGTTTTAAATTTTAAAACATAGAAAATATACCCCCCCAGGGCGAAGTGGTATCGTCCAACTTCCTAATAGACATGCGCAGCAAGGGTACCTGGTCACGTGGGTATTGGGCGTCCGGAAGTCACGCTGGATTACGCAGGTGGGGTGAGGGCCTAGAGCGGCCTGCTGTTCTCAGGCTTGAGGTGTCCTGTGGTAAGGCATTTTATTAGCGAGGACAAAAAAATGATGCACGAAGCAAGAGAATAATGACGGCAGATATCAGACAAAGGCTACTCCTTTTTCACTGTGGTAGTAGATTGGCAGCGGAGCCCCTGGAGTGCAGAATAGATCATCAAAAAGCGTTTAATATTTTTGTGCCCCTGTGGGTGCCGCCATCTCTGGGCGCTGCAATTTCTTCTGTAAAGTGGACCGAACTCTAATACTTCCGTCATCAAGTTCGGAAATTCACACGAGTTAACGTTTGCAATTAGCAAAGGAAGGCGTTAAAACAGTAAGCTCTTTGAAGGCGGAAACCATCTCGTTTGGCTCACACTGTGCTGCCGCAGGCGCGGAGCCTCACGTGTAGTGCACACCTGAGAAATACCGCATTGGCTGAAGGAGTGAAGGATTGCGGAAAGTTAAAAGAAACATCGAATGGCAGGGCCGCCCATAGTTCTTTCTTCCTGCTCTGGAGCGTCCAGTGCAAAAACCCAAGGAGAGCATTCTGGGGTTCAAGAAGTCTACATTCGAGTTCTGGCTCCAATTCTTGCTGGTTCCAGCTGATGACCCCATCTCTTTCCTCTGAACTTTCCTGGCTGATAAATAGAGCTGAGAAAGGGAAGTAACACTTTCGCCACTCCCTGACAACACAATTAGTGTCATCCTCATTTTACATTTGAGGTAACAGAGTTTTAGAATGCAGGTCTTTCTGATTGCAAAGCCAGTGCCACCCCTGTTGTCCCCAAGGGGCAGATGAGTTGGAGCTGTTCATGGGGCAATATTAATGGGCTTCATACTCACTCACTGTCCCCCCCTTCTTCAAGGTGATGTGAACAGAGAAATAACTGGCCATTCACTTGTTACCAGAATCCAGGGTGAAGAGGAGTGAGTATATCCCATAATCTCCCTCCCCCACCCCCGCAGAACACAGCAGGCTGGCCTTTTTTTTTTTTTTTTAAAGATGACCGGTAAGGGGATCTTAACCCTTGGCTTCGTGTTGTCAGCACCACGCTCAGCCATTGAGCTAACCGGCCATCCCTGTATGGGATCCGAACCCGTGGCCTTGGTGTTATCAGCACCGCACTCTCCCAAGAGAGCCACAGGCCGGCCCTACCTAGGCTGGCCTTATTTTAGCGTCAGTTGACATGGGGCAGGGATGGAGTGGGGCGGGAATGGGTCCTCCTGTCATGACTGACCCCTGCACTGTACCTTAACAGCGTCTCCAAACACTCCAGCAATCATTTAATTCTCTCTCAGCCTCCCAGTAATCCCAGGTGATAGACACCACAGTACTAGAAACCCCATTTTATGGGAAAGGAAACTGAGGCTCAGAGATGTTTAGTGATTTGTTCAGGGACCCGCAACCAGAAAGAGCCTGAACCAAATTGGCACCAAGGTCTCTTGCCAGAATCCCCTACTTCTCTTCTTTCCACCAATCATGGTGGGTGGGGTACAGGCCTTGATATTTGTCCCAAATGGAGGATAAAAATAAAGCAATTTTAGGTTGAAGGTCATGAAAATCTGACTTTAGCCAGTCTCTCCTCTCTCAGTTCCATATTTTTTCCTCCTCTTTTCTTTCTCTTCCAAGGAACGGGTACCTAACACAGCCCCACTCCTGGCCTTTTGGAAGAGCTTGGGGATTCTAGCGACTGGTTAGGGCAGGAGGACTCCTGGGTCCCTCGGATTTCTTGTTGCTGTCTCTATTGGGATCTCCCTTAGGACACCCTCTCCATCTCAGCCTCAGCCTCTTGCTGAGAGCCCCAGAGCCATGTCGGAGGTGGAGGGGCCTTTCGGTTTGGTTCAAGGCAGCCTGAGCCCCACCCTGGGGAGAGAGGAGTTAAAGCCAGGTCCCAGGATCACAGGGATCGGGAAGTTCCGGTGGCCCAGCAAGAGTGGGTTGGGAAGACCCGCTGGAAGAGCGGTTCAGGACGGAAAGGGGGGCGGTGCCAGCCAAGCCAATCCGAGCTTCACCCCCATCAGCGCTTGGCATCCACTGGTAAACCGCCCCCCACCCCAAACCCGAGGCATGAGCGCCTAGGTCCCCCCAGCGGACTGCTTTCACCCCAGGCCAGTCAGAGGCCAGCGATCAGCACCCTCCAGAGCCGGGAGGGACTAGCTGCCTTCCCATTGTCTGTGCGGAGCAGGCGGAGGGGCTGCGAGGGGCGGGGCTGGGGCTGGGGCG